AGTTTTTTTCGGTTTATTAACTAAATAAAATTTAAATCATATTTATAACTCTTTTATTATGTAGTTTATATGGCCAAAAACGCAAAATTGATTAAAAGCAAACATAAAAAAATAAAATGAATCGTATCTTATGTCTCAATGTTCCCCTATAATGGGAGCACAATGAGACTTTGCGTGGGAAACAATGACACTTAGTGTTTTAACGAATACTAACAGAAGAAGTATATTTCAAATGGATAATAAGATTGTTGTCTTTTTGTAGTCCCATATGTACTAATGGTGGAGATAAAATCATGACGATATCTTGTTCCAACACAAGTCCAGTGTCTTCTACTACTAGAAATACAAATTTGTTTTCCATTTTAGTACTTTTTCTTAAATACATATGATACATACAATTTATTGTTTTCGTGTTTAAGTAGTTTTGCTACATTAAAATAGTTATTTTTGTTACAAGTACCTAAAACATAGTTTTTTGGGACGAATTTTGCTGTTTCCGGACGAGCCGAAAGCAAGTCCGGAATAGCAAATGAGTCCCAAAAAACGTTTTACGTACGTGTTACAAACAATATTTTTTTGTTCAAGCTCCCAAAACACCTTAAAAACCATTTATAAAAACGACTAATTTTGACAAACGAAGCAAATATTTATTGAAAAGTGGGCTAGTGGGCTGCCACCATAGTAACTACAGTGTTTTGTAAACACGAAAAAACCTGACATTTTTTTGCACAAAATGCAGAATCCCGCACATATTACGGAAAAAGCAAAAGAAATCGTACTGGATTTACTTCTAGCGAAGTCTCGGCAAATGTAGGGTCGTGGACAGTGAATTTCGTCCACCCAATTTCTTTGACAGAAAAAAACTCTAAATTAGCCCTTAGATCTTTCTAACCTTTTTTTGTCATTTTGACATAAAGGGGCAAACATTTTTTTACACGATAACTAACACTAGTCCGCGATAAGCCCAAAAGTGTAGCGACATTCCATCTTGGAAAAGGGATATTAGTTTACCTTCATTAAAATAACTAATCGATGTCAGGTTCGAATCTAAATTAAATTTGACAATACTTACGTCAGTCATGATGACAATAAAGCACCGATACAGTGAATTTTTGTGAATTCGCGTGAATTGTGTGGACGAAATTCACTGTCCGCGACTGTACGAAAAGGAATATCAAATATTCCTACGATGGAAAGAACAAAAAAAAATTGTAGTAGTAGATGAAGATGTAATGTTAAATTATCTTCATGAAAAGGTAAGTGCCGCCTTTATGTTCAATATTTATAAGCCTTACACATGATTATCGTGATAATTTCCGTATTTTGTTACAGTCACAAGAAGTAAAACCATCTACTCTCTGGTCAAAATATTCAATGATTAAAGCTGTTTTGTCTGTCAAAGAAAATATTGAAATAAACAAGTTTTCCAGAGTCATTGCGTTTTTAAAGAGAAATTCAGTAGGATACGAGCCCACGAAGTCAAAAGTTTTGACACGTCAAGAAATTGACACATTTGTGACAAATGCAGACGATATGAAATATTTATCAATAAAGGTTTAAAAAATATTCTATGTATCAGATAGATTTATTTTTCATTTTGTAGGTTGCCCTTCTTTTTGGTGTGTGTGGTGCATGTAGGCGAGAGGAGCTACATTCACTAAAAATTCAAGATATTGCCCAAAAAGACGAAGAATGTCTAATTATAACAATTCCTGATAATAAGAGCAACATTAAGAGAGTCTTACCAGTGATAGCTAAAGGCAAAGCTGTCAATGGCCTGGAATTATACCAGAAGTTTTTACGATTACGGCCCGAGACAGTTCAACACGATTATTTTTTCATTTGTTATGGCAATGGAAAATGCACTGTCCAACGTGTAGGAATTCATTCTTTTGCGAAAATGCCCTCGGTTGTTGCTGAATTTCTTAACCTGCCCAATCCCAAGGAATATGCAGGGCATTGCTTCCGACGAGGTTCTGCATCTCTGGCGGCTGATAGTTTAATCTCCCTGAAACGGCTAGGAGGATGGAAGTAATTTTTTTGCAATATAATTATTGTTTTCTTCTAAATAGTAACAAACTTTAGGTCGTCTTCTGTCGCAGAATCATATATAGAAGAATCTGTTGAAAGGAAGAAGAAGATATGCAGACAGTTATTGGGAGAAAAGCAAAACGAACCATCGACTAACACACTATTAGTTACTACTGAAGCTACTTCCACGACATCAAGAGACATCAGCCTGATACCTTCAAGCTCCTCAGGTATTTCGTTTGGACACAACAGTTTTCAGCAGGGGCGGCTCATGACTTGAAAAATTGATGAGGCAAAGCACAAAACGCTCTAAAATATAAATAAATCAAGATTACTTAAATATTTTCTATTTAGTCAAATAAACAAATTTGTAAACTCATTTAACTGTCCACAAAGAACCAACGTGAAGGTGTAAGGAGGTCTTGCAAGGAAAGGATGACAATGACAGGACAAAAGGAAAGGGAAGCGTGGTCAGAAAAAACTAATATAACTTCTAACAAAAAACAAAATCAAAATAAACTTTAAAGAAAACATATCGAAAAAGATCAAATACAACATAAAATAAAGCTAATTTGATTTATAACAAAAAACAAAATGAAAAAAATATAAAATATAAATACGGATTTATTTTAAATTTTTTTATGGATCAATTAACGATTTACTCAAATCAGGAACCGGCGGTTTTAATTCCTTAACTCCATACCATTTATCATCATACGTGAAAGTAGAAAAAACAGAACTGCCATTGTCATTTAACGTTAGTAGAGAAAAATTCCGATTTACTCGTAATCTTAAATAACGATTACCCAAATCAAAGCACTAACGCCACACACGCAAGCGTAGGCACTTTTAAGACAAAATTCTGTTACCGAAATTTTGAATCGATTTATACACACACAGATTTGTGGCAAAACAATCAACGGCCTAATTTTGAATACTCCTGCGAATGCAGACTGCATTATAATCGCACGTTCCCCGCGCGCAAATATTATAGTTGTCCATCTCTTTTGCAAGCACGGAAATAAGGCTAGCCTCAATTTTGTCTTTTTTCAACTTATACCGATTATGAGTGTATTGCAGGTTGCTTGCCTATTAACGACATCATTTCTATATATGCTGTAGAGGCAAGCTTCGAGTCTGCCTCATTCGCGTCACAAAATACATGTTGTGCCGAGTGTTTAAGCGCGCTGTTTAATTAAGGGAGCAACGAGTACCTCGAGATAAAAATAAGAATATAATTTTCTATATTTATTTTTAAAATTTCAGAAAAAAGACACAAATTATTGGCCGAAATGTGTCCGTATAAAATAATAAAAATCCTAATAAGGCGTAAAATTCATTGGTGAGGCACTGCCTCACCTGCCTCATAGGACAAGCCGCCCCTGGTTTTCAGGGATCTCAAAACTGTTCATTCCATTTTCATTTTGAGAAATAAATATTGTATTGTTGTATCTACTCCTTTAGAATAAATGTGGTTATTTAATTATTGTTTTTATAGTTTTTACTATTCAGTCCCAAAAAGTTGCCATGGCAACTTTTTCGTACTAGTACGAAAAAGACTCATTTTACGGACACTTTTGAATCCCTAAAATAACCATTTTTGAGAGCGTGTACAAAAAACGTTTTTTTTTTCTTGAGTAAATTTTTGTAATACACAATCTCCTTCAGGAGAACCTACCAGTTCTGGAATAAAAATTTCATCGTCGGAAGATTCTTCATATAACACTTCCCCGTCTTCATCTGTAGAAGATTCTTGATCATTCACATTTTTTGCACTATGACGTTAGCGTTACTTTTTTGAATCATTATTTTTGTCATCTTTGCTTATCGTTTCGGGTTCCATAACTTTTCTTTTTACGTTTTGTGTTTTATTTATTTTTGTTGCGTTTCTCAGTGCCTATCTTTCCTCTAACTCATCTTTCTGAGAAGTATCTGTCGCAAAAACCGTTGATACGATGCACATAGTACTACGGCAGCTACTCTTTAGTGTAATGATAGATGACTAACATTGTAAACTATTTAGTTTTAACACTTCAACCGATCTTTCGCTTTTAGTCAGACCACCACTAATAACTCATCAGTGCCATCTTGTGTACAGTAGAAGTAACTATAACGTCAAATTTAGGCTCAAAATTAGAAATGTCTCACAGGTCCCTATGTTTCAATATTATTACCGTTGTTACCCAGATTCCCCTACATATATTTGGAATGGCGTTGGCGTCGTCACGCAGATCGATATTTTTTAATTTGCAACGTATACAGGTGATTCAAAAATGGCGCACTAACTCTATGACACGTTGTTAAGGGCTGTTTATTAAACAAAGAAAAAAGTAATTTTAAAAATCCTTGGAAATGTAGAAGACAGGCGTTCAAAGTTTAATTTTCTTTTAGATATTTAACCATCCAGTGACCTGTGAAATTACAAATGTTGCAGATTTGCCACTTCTTAGTAATAGTAGACGTTTTTAATGTTTTAATTAATATGATTTGTCAAAAGAATTATGACATTTGAACTTTCGTTGTCAATATGTTGTAGCGTATGAGCAACAAAAATTTATATGAATGGAGGCTATTGTTTATTGAAAAAAAAAAGATGTATGCTTGTTTTAATCACAGTCTCCCTTTATTATTATTATTACCTTTATTGCTTTTACACAATAGTTGCACATCTCGAAAGAGAAGGAACAAATTAGTCCCCATTTGCGATGTTAGAATAATCTATATGTAGGCAGAACATGTCCACAGATGATTCTATACTATCAAGGGTAGCTCTGAAATTTCTTTTGCTAATTATTTTGCCGCTTTGTCACAATAACGAAGCTTTTTTTTGGCAAGTTAGTGAAATGCGTTCTTACTACCAGAATCATTTAAGTATACCTAGATACGAAGTATAACATATGGGTACCAGATTATAGATAAACAAATTTTTGCAATAAAAATACGTTCAATTTAAAAGTACCTAACTAGGATTCCGGAACGTGTGTACTTGGCTTGACAATCCATTATGATTACAATGTGGTTGCCAAGACAACATGCTGTTACAAACCCAAACAGTAGAAGCAATTTTATGTTAGTTGTTATAGAATTTGTTATGAACGTCACTGTGACTACCAAGAAATTTAAGAGAAAGCTATGAGAGAAAGTCAGAAAATAGAATAATAATTTTAGGTGCAATGTTTAAAACTGAATATGGTTATTCTAGATGTATTTGTAAAAAACATAAATATTACATATAAAAGTACCCTCTTCTCAAAAGCAACTTTGTTGACACTGATTTTTGGGATAATGTGTGTTGTATTACCCTTTATATTTGCTTATAAAAGTAAAGGTAACAAAATTACACTTTGATAACATTACTATTTTGTACTGGGTACTTGTTATTTTGTAGGTTTTTGGATTAAAAGAAATGTATTTCATGAACAGCCAGATGTCAAGTTTAAAGGAGAATATCTATTTGTATCAACTACAAATAATATTAATAGCCCTGTAATTACCTGCAGCACTCTGCCCCAGTATGAACAATTGGATTACATTGATGCCTGCTCAATGATTAAAGTATAGAAATTATTATCAGTAAACTATTGTGTATTAACATGTGCCCAATATGTTCCAGATTCGGGAAATAGATAAAAATTTTGATAACAAGGCTGATGAATTTAGTTTAATTTTAGATGTAACGGTTCCTACACATACCCAACTAACATCTTTCTTCATTATAATTCCAGTGGATTATAAATTATCTGTAATTATGAACTTTTCAATATTTGTTGTGAACATTCTAACTTGTTGGTTGTAGATTTGCCCTGTACATATGCAAGCTGCAGTGATTTATCAGACATATTTGCCTGTACCTGTATCAAAATTTATGGTAACATCTGATGTTGGTATTACTCAGTCCAGTCCTATAAGCTGCCATACGAAGCAAGTTAACACATTTTACAATTATTCCATAATTACAAGTATAGAGCAAGTACACCAATATGACGTACATAACATCATCACAGCATATTCGAAAAGAAATAGTAAAAACTGAAAGTAATTTAGACTCCGTTTTTTAAAACATTCTTTTTAGTATCTACAGTGATGAAAAATGTATACACAAGCTTTAAACTGGAGAATTCACAAAATTTTGTTTTGGATATAACTTTACGATATCCAGAAGACATTGTATATTACAAACCTGGATTTTGGGAAACAATGAAATGGGCTTGGATGCAGTACGTTATCATATACCTAACGGTTTCATACATTATTACAAAAATAAAAACTTATGTTTTCAACAGGAGGCTAGTGTTGTTTTATGAAGATAATCCACTCAAGAAAAAACAATAAATTTTTATATTTTTGTATTTACAGAATTTTATTTACAATGACAACTCCAACTGTGGTGCAGAAGTGAATTTGTCTCTGTTGTCTTCTAAAATAAATGTAGTTTGTAACAAATCATCAACTTGGATAAACATATAACGGTACTCATAATTGCCCGAATCATTCTGGAATAACACATTTTATACTAGCAAACTCTTCTTCTTATTTACCTGAATCATTTCTAATTGGACAGTGCCCTGATGAAAACTTCCTTTAAGGTAAAATTTCATTCTTATGCACTGCCGTCCTTCCCTTTGGAAAATGATGTGACTAACATGCTGTCTGCGACGACGACTTGTCTCAGCCCCAAATGCCGAAATTGGAAGCCCAAGTTTATCCTGAACTCTCACGTCTGATTTACATCTTTCTACTGCTTGTGAATAAACGTTATTGGGGCTTTTACTTGAAAATAGCTCATGAAAAACTGCATAAAATAATGTACCAGTTACCCCAACTCCTAACAAAATTATTCCTAAATATGAGGCAGTCTTTGTCGTCTCTTTCACCTTTTCTCCTATCGGTTTTACATTTGTGTCGACCTCAGTCTTCACTGATTTTGTTACTGCGGACTGGCGAGTTTTGCATGTCCTGATTTGTTGGCAGAATAAATTGTTAGAAAGTATTTGAGATCGATATCTAAATATAGGATTCATAAATTTCATAAACGTCATGTTGCTATAAAGAATAAGTAATTGTACACAATATAATTAATCTATTTTACTACTCTTACCCAAATTTTTCATGAAATTGAACATAACCTAATCCATATAACCCAACTTTTAAATGTAAATGAAGTGATGGCCAGAGTTACATAACTTCTACGCTAGGGACTTTTTATATACTATATAACATTCCGTAATGCATATGGTGATCCAGGAATGGATGTATTTTGTAAAATATTAAAAAAATATTGTTTAATAATTGATTTCTTTTAACATTTTCGAATTGTTTTCCCATTTGCTACGCTTGCGCGGTATCTTTACCACCGCCACACTCCACACATCACTTCACTTGACATTTGTTTTTTCTAGTTGACATTTGACAGTTGGGTGAGCACAGTTTCGTTGAAATGGGCAACACGAAGTAGTAAGGATATTCTTGTAGAATTAAGTAGTTAGGAATATGGATTGGGTAATATCAGACGAACTGTCCCTTACCGTAGGAGCAGTAGTGGGTTGGATAAGTGCTGGTGCTATGATTATAGGGGGTGTCATCCCTTACATTCCGCAATATAGACAAATTAAAAAATCACAAGATGCAGAAGGTTTCTCGTTGTTGGTGTGTCTTGCCCTTTTAATAGCAAATACTTTACGCATTATGTTCTGGTGAGTATTGCTTTTGTTTTTTGTACCAATTTGTAGTTGTAATTTTATAGGTTCGGTAAACACTTTGAATATCCCCTTCTTATTCAAAGCATCATCATGAATGTAACAATGTTCATTATGATACATCTATGTGTTCGAGTTAGAAATAGAAATCAACTGATGCAAGCAAGGCAGAGGATTTTCACAGGTATGGATGCGTTCAGTGTTATTTTTAGAAAAATCTGCAATCAATACCAAAACAAATCTGGTAATTAGTTTTCTAATGTCACTTTAACGTGGCTAGTTAAGTATTAGTTTTGCTACAGTAAACCATTGTTTGTTTTTTCACATACTTTTTGCATCATCACTCTACTATCTTTTACATAATTATTTATGATTTATGTTTAGTAATATTTTGTAAATTTTTATTTTTGACAGCAAAACCCAGTGAAGTCGTCAGATTGTTAAAATCTAAGCCTCCCCGCTCTACTCACAATATTTGTGGTAATTTGCTTGCACGCCTTGCTTACTGCTTTCAGTACTAACATTGATTTAAAGTATTGCCATGTATTGATTGTTGTAGATAAAAGTTCAAACTTTTGATTGAAAAACCCATTAAATGTAAATTCATGCAAAGTAGTCGCTATATAAAAAGCGACGTATTTTGGCTTGTATTTACAAGATTAACAAATAATTGCTGATACGAGAATTTAAGGCTGTTATAATATAAATTTATTGGCAGTACTTTGGTCAGTATCATTTATCTTTTCAATTTCTATCATAAAATTCATAACTAATTTTCAGTTCTACTTCTTATCGCTTTCATAGGGTCATTAAAATACAACTATTTAATCAAAAAGTAAATAATAGTTATGCTTTGCTATATCTCTTAACTTGATTATACAACACTGCTTATCAAATTGACGACTTAAATTTGCATACTCAGAAGTTCATTACAGTGAGCGAAATTTTCACATAATTGAAATGTTCCTTGTATGTGAAATCTTTTAATTCACTATCTTTAAAGTAATGAATGACAAACAATTTATTGTTCATATTGTTTGATAAAATGACACTTTTTAAACAAGTTACCACATCACATATTATTAAATAACATGTATGCATTAAAGTTGGAAGCAAACAATGTCTGTGATATTTCATATTTTGTTCTTCCATTGTAGCTGTGTGATATGAAATGAACTAAAAAGATTTTTTTTTCACGAAGTGGATATTATAAAACGAAAATTTATTAAGTAGTTTTTTTACAAATGTAAATTTTTGTAAGTTAAAAACAAATTATTTTGAAGGAATTTTTTATATGATTACATCTGGTTTATGTCATATCATTTCTATTTTTTTTTAAACCAGCAACATTCAAAAATATGTTTAACTGCGTCTTCAACCTGTTATTATGTATTAATGTGAGATTATGAATTTTGTAATTACAAAATTTGTTTTTATTTGAGAATAACTGCCAAAGCGTCTTATAATTTAGCATTTGTAGCAAAAAGCTTAAACTTGAGTGTTCCTATACTTTCGCAACAACTATTAAATGTTGCAATAATTCGTAGATAATTTTAATCGATGTTCTGACTTGCCACATTAAAAAAAATGTCATGTAGGTTCAAAGACACACTAAAATTTCATTTTATGTATTTTTTTTTCGTGAACGTAAGGTGAGCTTGATTTAGTGAGAATTTTAGTTTTGGCGGGTAACAATTTCCGATATTCCATAGTATATTTTTATAAATAATACAAAAATAAAAAATCTTCAACCTAGCGTTGAAGTATAGAAACCACGTCCAAGTTGTTAAGACATTTTTATTGAACTCGTCGCTAGAAAGTTGCTTCCGAATCTTATCACTACTATTTTCGGACAGCCATTATTCTTTTATTATCGTATCTTTTTGATTTTAAAATGAGGAATAAGAGATATTTTAGAAGATTGTAGCTCCCGTTTACTGATTTTTTTTTATCTGGATACAGGATTCATTGCTACTCCCAACGAAATTTTTCACCTTGGAAGGAAAGTCTTGCAAATAGAAATATAAATTGTTAATACTATAAACTTAAGAAGTTCATGGGAATCTCCAAATTATTGTACATATTTGTTTATGAAGTCATTTGATCATTTGTATGGGTTTATCTTGATATAGGTCAGCGGTGTATTGACCCATTAACGATTTATTTATTTTCCAACAGTTCAGTTATACTTCGACCACTATTTTCATTTTTCGTAGTGACTTATTGTAAGAGTTAGTACGTACATAATAATCACCGATTTGTAAATATGCAAAATACGATCGGTGAGATTTTTTACTTTCTGGATAGGTTTTGTAGACAACGAATTGGTGTAATCTCGACTTTATAATAGAATGTCAACAGTGTAATGAAGTACAGAGATGTACAAAAAATATTTTATATAAGTTATTGCAAGGTGATCTACCACGAAAAATTGGAATATTTTACTAAGGTAAAACAATGTCGCAGAAAATACTTTATATAAATTGGACAAATTACTTAATATTTGTGTAATTTCCAATTTTGCGGTAAAATGCATGAAAAGAGGCTTCTGAAAAGCAATACAAAAGTAAAACTTTATTAATACGTACACAAAATGTGCAATTCATTATGCCTCAAAAATCATTAATTGCAATTTCATCAGAATATTGTGTGACGTAAGTCACATTTCATCAATTTTGATAATACATAGTTCATTAAGTGGCTTAAAAAATTATAAGCATGTTATTTGTGTTTGTTTTGCATAAAAGCTTCTTAGATAAAAACGATTTTTTTCAGATTTCGATATTAAATATTTTTGGAATTGGAACGACTTCCAATCATACATAGACTGTATGCTAGTTTTCACGATTGCAACGTCAATAATGATGTACCTGTTCATAGATAAAATTATTTTTGTGGAAATTATGGGCTTCCTAGCTGTTTTTACTGAAGCTATGCTAGGTACGCCACAATTAGTGAAAAATTTTAAGAATAAATCTACCGAAGGAATGAGGTAAGTTGCAAGTATATAGGTTTAGCCCAATAAGTATACATATGATTATGCTTTTAGTTTAACTATGGTAATAATGTGGACTTGTGGTGATGTATTTAAAACTTTATATTTTTTGTTCCGCGAGGCTCCAATTCAGTTTTGGATTTGTGGATCAGTGCAAGTGGCTGTGGACGTGTTAATTTTAATGCAAGTTTACATATATAGGGGCAATACCGAACCTCAGCGTGTGAGATCGCATAGAGGAGATTGAGTGGTTATTATATGGACTCATGATGACGGAACAAACCAAACCAAGGATGCGAGTAAGGCAGAAGAGGAGCTAAATGATTACACCACCAACGTCGACAGCAATGTCGGCAGCAATAGTAATAGTATAGATGATACCCCAGAGGTCACGAAAGGTTCCCATGATGAGAAAACCATAAATAATAGCGATAGCAAAATAGACTTGAAAAGGAAATTCTGTAACATGCATGTTATTAATGCTGTTATACACAACGACAACCGAATCATGGTAGGTGATGCAAGTAGTTATAAAGTTGATCGTGATATCAGTGACACGCGAAGTAGTTTTATAAATAAATTCAATGGTGATTTTAAAAATCGAGCTTCACAGTTTTCATATAAAAAAAATGCTAAACATAAAGTTAGTATGCTAATTCACAGGCATACGTTATGACGTATACTTGCTTTAGGACAACAAATTTCCTTTTTTTTTTTTTTTTTAATTTCCTTAGTTTGTGTATATAAAGTTGCTATTTATAATCGTCATTTGTAATAGGCACATTTTGTTTAACTGATGTATACGGTGCAATAATCATATTAGCTCTTTTCGTAGCTATCTTATGTTTAAGAACAACGTGCTTTTAGTTGTTGTTTCAAGAGTTTAAATAGTAATGTAAATTCTAAAATTTGCAGCACGAAAAGATATATAAACATACAGCAGGAACAAATTAACCAACTGCCAAAGTTTTATTGGCGAACAAAGAATAAATGCTTTTTATTATTTATAGTATACTAGTTTGAAGAACAATTAAACATCTTACAGGTCAATATTAAGAACTAATTTATAATTAGTAATATTTTTTTATAACATTTTTTTAATTTGCAATTTTAGATTAACTGTAGAATATATTAAACAAAAAATATTGTAAATGAAATTATTTTAAACGGTGCGTGAACATAGTGGACAACGTAAACGAGAAGAACAATAGTTCACTCCCAAGTTATCTTGTGTTTAATTTAATAATAAGTACAACGTGTGTCTCTCCTTATGCAGCTTTTTCGCGTGTGATACCTAAGAAAACACTGCAGTGGGACAACATATTCCATTTTTTAAAGCAATATGTAAAATTATGTACAAAGATAATAAAAGAAGGCAAGCACCATATATAGCTGGAAATTGTTTTAAGTCATCGTGTTTTGTCTGATACTATCCAAAGAAAACATGTTTTGTTTATCACCTATTTATTATTGCACGTATGGTATGTACAAAGTTCCAATTTAATGCCCGGTTTCTAGAAATAAAATGAATAATTTCTGTGTAGTATTTTTAAAACTTAATGTATATACAATTTTCAAAGAGATCATTTTATGAAAGTAATATATTTTTTAATTGGATACAAATTAAGTTGAATATAATATTCACTGGTGTACAAGGTATTTAAATGTAATCAGTTCGTTGCTTCTTCTAAATATGATTTTTTTAAGATTGTTCAAAATTCAGTTATGCTTTCTTTATTTCAACCATTCTTGGGAAATATTTTGTTTTAATTTAATTGTTTTCCAATTTTTTAACGATTTTGTATCTATTTCTTCCAAATGTAGCAGGCCTTCTTCCGTAAATAATATAATCATATCATTGGTTTTTACCTGCATCTAGACACTAGGGCAATCTCTGTGATTATATTTAATTGTGTATGTTGCTAGTCTTAATATCTCTTTATAAAATAGTTATATACTGCGTTTATTCATTATGTTAACTGAACATAACATTACGATTTGACTTTTATTTGATTCTGTCATATAATTTATAAATATATTTTTGTTATTGAGAAATATAACTCGTTAAAATATGATTTTTGTTAAGTATTTCGAATAATTAAGAGCGCAATGTGTGTGATTTCGAAAAAAAAAATGTGTTTTTTTTATTTACTTTGTTGCTGTTATTAGACGGACTATGAGTGCAGGGCACTTTGAAGAAATCGGAAGAATGTTGAAACATTTTAAATATACTGTACAAAGTTTAGCAACCTGCAATCTTTAAGACAAAATTACGTACAAACTAATTTTAAAAACAACATGATGTAATTTTTAAGTAAGTTTAAATTATTCGTATTGTGTGAGTATCACAAATACTAGTGTATAAGATTACAAAAAAATCGAACAAAATACTTAAGAAGAACCGTGCAACATTCAACACTGATTGCTCGTGTCATTATCAAATAATTTTTTTGTGATAGTTAATGTGATACATAAAAATTACAACAATATTATACATAATATATCAAATTTTTTTAACATATTTGTTATAGTACAAAACACAACATTCTTTATTCATAAAGAGGAAAAATTTGATTTAATTCTGCTTAGCTTTTGAATGAATATCACTTTTAAATTTATGCAATCGGTGCGTCGTATGAATAAACTTCAATAAACATAGTACACTTCTTGTCCTTTCACTTTTTTAATAAAAGTAAAAGTATTTGGTTAGGTGTATTTAGATCACACATAAGTTTCGACGTAATAGAAGGAAGTTTCTTCAAAAAACTCGTTGAGTGTATTGGCTGCGGTTACAGCGTTGTAAATTTAACGCAAAAATAAATTTGTACTTACAAACCTAATACTTTTATCATTTTCGATTCTTGTATTCATGATATCGTTACGGCCTAAATTCAAAATCGCACTCCAGAGTACACTATCGAAACGTTGATACAAATTTATTAATGAATGTAATTTCGAAAACAAGAACAAGTAACATTTTTATAATGACATGCAGCCATAGATGTTCCGCTTGTTTTCTTTTTATTTTCATCATTGACACTCAATCGCAAGAGACATTTTTTCGGATTAGATTGCAGGTTGTGTTTATTTGCAGTACACGTTTGGGTATCTTAAATATTTAACGAACTAATAAAAAAACAAAATTCTGTTTGCACCGTCATAAAAATCGGATTTTTTTATGACATATAAACTAATTAAAATATAGATTCCCAATTGTCAAAGTAAAGATCATTATACTTCAGATTGCTCTGCAAAGCCCCTTTATGTTCAATTCCAGTCTTCAGGAGCATTCCGAATTGTAAAGAAAATTCCATTATTATTGTTATAATTTATTACTTTGCCAAATTTTGTCTTCAGTTAAATCTTAACAATAATTTTACAAAGATTGTAATTTTTGATACTTTGTAAATATTGAAAAAATAAATTATATTTGACAGAACGACAACGTTTTATTCCTGTTATTGATGAGAAAAAACTACGTCATATTTCAGCACTGAACAGATTATGTATCGGTTAGTACTGAAATCAATAAAACATTCCTTCACTTTCACAAATATTATAAAAAGAGTTTTTTGCTCGAGAAGGAAGTCTGTTATTGTTTATAGATTTGCACATACACGCATTAGTATTATCGATTGGTGAAGAGTATTATTGTGCCGACATCTTCATAACACAAAACAAAAGAGAAATTAACATCAGGATCATGTACATATTACTGTCCAAACTGAGCAGTGAATACAACAAGCGAACATCGCTGACGACATTGTCTTCCTAGCCATTTTGGACGCGGGTTTTGTGAGGCGCCGGGCATCGATCCGTCTTAGTGCGCCAAATCAAGTGGCCTGTGCATCATCGTTGCCAGTTTATCATCAAGGGTCAGCTAGAGCCCGTAACAACATCTTATCTCATTTTTATCAATGGAAGACTGGACTATTTTGGGTGAGTAAACAACCTGACGTACTAGTATTTACAATTAAAAGTAAAACATTTTTCATTTTATAGTTTCGTAACGGTTTTAGTTTTATAGTGAAACTTTCAAATCGTATGTTGATATATTGTATTTTGAAAAGCTCACACAAACCAACATACGCCACCACCTAATTATGACTGAAGATCGTAATTTTTAATAGCAAAGAATTTTAATGTCATTTATTAGTTATTAAAATAACAAACTGCGAATTGAAACAACGCGGTAAACTAACTTTTTATTACGTGATGTGTTTATTCGGTTAAGTCATTTGCCGCTTTAATGTGATCGTAGACCGTTACTATTTTTTTTGTGCCGTTGACATTATGTACCTGTTATTAAGTTATGAGGTAATTAAAAAAACATTTTTTTATGGTAAAGATGGATGCTTTCAAGATTTATTTGGTTAAAAAATTCAAGAATTTTTGCTTACGAACATTCAAACGTGAGCAACTTTTTTTTATTTGTTTATAATATAATGAGTTTACTGTGTACATACAGTAGGTGCAGTACAATTAAAGTTTTAACAAATTGCCCCTTTTTTGAGCAGAAAGATAAGTTCCTTGGAGAAAATTTAAAATGTCGTTACCCTGATGTTCCTAAAATCTTTATAAAACGCACCATTTTTGGCACACCTCCATAATGGTTTCATGAAGGTTGCCTCTACGCTATAATACAGAATGCTTCGGAATTAAAAATAAGCCTAGTCCTTTATACGGATTTATTTTATATCTTCGATATGGACAGATTTCCATTTATTTCAAGCACGTGTTCGCATTTTTCATCGTTTGCGTTATCCAAACGTCGACATAGAATCAATAAATTGCTACAGAACTCGTACAGATAACACAGCTGGGGGTTCTTCCCATCAAAATTACATTTTTAAACAAATTTTATCTTCGTTTAGGAACGTAATTTCGACAGTAAAGTATGTCTTAACAAGGGGTGTGGTCACGACATCGCACGTCGCACCACAAACAAATGTTAAAACACCCTTTACCGTGTCTAAGGAATGAGTGAAAAATCTTCCTTTTACAGTGTATCAACACTTTTCATTTCAAGGCGCAAAAAATATGCACCATGTGTTTTAGCAGACCCGGCAACCTGATGGGGACTTACCGCCGCCAGATTAAAAACATAATGCTTTTCTTGCGCGTGAATAAATAACCGTCGGAGCCGTCGTTTAATCAATATTTGTTTGGAATGGCATGTTATTACGTTATCAGTATTAATCTGCTTCCGTAATTTTATAATGCGCGAAAATATTGAACAATGTGGAGTTATTAATCGGTGTTACAGTCGGGTACATTTCTTTAACACAAGGTCGCATTTCAATTTTCAAAACTTGGACTAGATGTGAGGAAGTATTTTAAAAATGCTACGTTTTAACCGATATACTTGCATTGGTTTTAACACTTGGTAAATTAGACGACCGAAATTTTGATATTTGAATTGCAACTTTGTGATAAATAAACCCTGACTATAAATACGTTATTGACCATCGACAGAGATGTGCTCATAAATATGCAGAATTTCAGATTGAACAGCAGAAAATAACAATGCATAAAACATAGATGTTCTCTAGTTATAACCCGAACAGTAAAAATTTGTAAGTGTGTAACGGATTATTGTTGTTGGATATTATCGTCAAATTTATAACTGGATTTTTAAAATTTTAGAAATAGACGGAAGTAATATACTCCTGCACTTGTCGTTTGTGAATCCATCTTGATTATGACAGATTTTTGGGAAAAAATATAAATATTGTGTAACAACATTTAATAGTTTAACTTAGAAACTGCAAAACCAAATGTTCGAAAATCTTGCAAATATTTTATTTTATTTTGTCGTAAACGTGGTAATCTCTTAAAATCAAAACGTCAAAGGTACCTCTTTTACGACTGGGTGGTTTCAGAAAACACTTCAGAACTGAAATTGTGATTTTGTAAAACTCGGTAAATGCAAGTGGTTGAATATGATGTAAGCAAGATTAAATTCATGGTGGTTAAAATAGAAATGTATTTTTTAAAATAAGTAAACCATTTCATGTATTTCAATTTATATCTTATATTATAAAAGTACTTAATAGCCCAACGTTTCATTAAAAGTTTTGTCGATTAAATACCGAGAACTGGTAAAAATAAAATTGACTCTACTAAAAACATCAATAACGTCAAAAAATGAAACGAAAAGAGCCCATACAATTTTTCTCTCATATTTGCAGAATATGTGAACAGTTTAAACTTTGACTCGTTTCCACAGGTTCTGTAATTATTGATTTATTTTTTGAAGAATCTAGCTAATGTAACAACATTTGCTATACAGCATAGAATTCAGTAAAAGTAAGCACCCCAATGACCAAGTGGTTAAAATTGAAAACTAATGTACTTTCACCGTCGGCCGTAAGAGTTTTATTTCTAGAGGGAGTTTTCGGGCATAGTTGAATTGTAATTTACACACGTAATTTATCGAGTTCCTTTAATGCACCGCCTTAAAGGAACTCGATAAATTGGTGGATTTTGAATATATAGCAATGCTTTCGAAGTGTATTTTTTTAACAATGTAGTCATTTATGTAAAACGAACAAAGCCCTTACATTCACCTAGTATACCGTGAATTAGTTTAAAACAGTCGAGCTACTCTTAAACGTGACTTTGCATTGTCTAATAGGCAGATCCTCAGCGGAATCGGGGTATACAAAAAATTGAAATTTGACGACTTTTACTCGGAATCTGAAACGACATTCTAAATATAGCAGTGTATATACAGAACGTAGTGATACACACTTTATTTTTAATAAACAAAGATACAAACGTAGGTTTTCATTAAATTAGTCGAATATCGTTACACCAAGATTTTTTACGTAGAATTCAGTTCATTTCAACCAGATGTATACAGTAAATTTTAATAAACGGACTTTGTTCACTTTTATGTGAACTACCTGTTATGATGAGAAAGCGTGTAGCGTTTATTAGTTCATTGTAAGTACATGTTATCGTGTAATATGTAGATACCATCTTGTATTTTTGCACTATTTTGGTGCTATATGTCTATAGTGTTATTTTATTTTGACAATCCCTTCTTAAATATTTTCTGTATTTTTCTGTATAATATTTTCTGAAGGTAAATAAAGTATTATTATTAAAAAAAAAAGATGTAGCATAACGTTTTACTAGTAACAGTGAATCAGAATGTTTAGGTCATGTGATTATTACCGTGTTGTGGTAGATACTGATTTTAAGCAACTTAAATGTAACAAACATACAGCATATTCACAGTGTGTCACTACATACACAATACTTCCTTAGCTTACGCTCGGGAAGAAAAAATGACTAATTAACGAATTTTTCAGACTTAGAGAAACGTTTTGATAATTGTTGATTCATTTTGCGTTGTGACAGATTCTTTGTCACATAAGTATTCACTCTATTATACACATTGAAAAGCTTGCCCGAAAGTAAAAATGGTGTGGGTATAAATTCTCTTTTCGTAAAGATAGTTAAATATTACTTGTTTGTATCACCAGGCGAGAAACTAGCCTTTTGTGAATACGAATGAATTTATCGAGATTTTTTGTGCCTATTTTTATATAAATAAAATTATTTTTGATGGTATCTGTATAATTATGGAAATAGTTAAAAGTGTATAAACAATCCTCCATAACCGAAAGATAATAGTTTCTCCCCCTTAAAGGATTTTTTTACCTTACATGTATTATTTACTTGATTTATTCCTAACATAAGGTGTACTTAAACAATTACTTTAAATTGGGTATTGTAGCTGAACACTAGACGATAACACCAACGGATATCGATAATAACCATAAAAAAATCCTTAGGTTCTTCCCGGAGTAGTCCGGCAATTTCTGGTGTCTGGCTGTTAGAAACGCATCGAAAACCAGTGATCCGGGCCGGAGGTACAAAAACATTAGTGTTTCAACTACATGAGCAGCTAACTTGACAAATAGATATTTATGTTTTTTGAAGCCTGAAAAAACATACATCGATTAGAGATTCTCCAATGTAACATTTTATATTAGGTTAAGTGCTTTAGCCTATTTTACGGAAGTCAGTTTCGGGTCCATCTGTTCTCAGCTTTTAAAACTGATAAGTTCTTTCATCTAAATTATGTAAAAATTGAAATCTTTGCCGACCACTTATTCGAAAAAAGCTTAATTTTTAATGCGTGAAGGATTTTGTTTTTACGGTGATTTGATTTTTAGACCAATTGCATTAATTATGAGCCATTGGGTAAATGGTCAAATTATAAACTGTAGAATTTTTATTAGTAAAAAAGAAATTCAAAATTCTCTCATATGCCTACGCGTAAGTGACTTTATCACAACTTAAACTATAGAATTATAAAAGTGATTGCCATGTAAGAAAATTATATAAATATAATAAGTATTAGTGTTACTGCGGCTTACTTTAGAAAAAAATAGTAGGTAGCCTTTTTATTTGGTAAGATTCCACTAGTACATACCTTTGTGTAAACGTTATGAGTGTATTGTATGTTTTTGTTTTTAAAATTACTTATAAAAAGTATAAACGCAAACGATTTTAAACAAACAGTAGTTGTTTCCTACTATGGCTATTGCCAATAAGAAAAAATTAGCGTGTATATTACACATCATTTTGTCAACAGTGAAAATAAAACAAAAACCTCGTAATATGTAAATTACTTGATTTTCGTATGTTAATACTCCGTATTAAGATTAATGATTACTGATTATCGTCATACACTGCATGGAGTCACGTATCTATTTCTAAGGTCGTTCGTCTAAAATTAGCTAGGTGTAGTTAAAAGCTTATTTAAACTAATTTTACCTGTCAGCCTACCATGGATGTTTAAAAGGACGTTTGGCTTCTCATATAAAATTTGTATAATTACGCTCCCATTACGAAATCCACAGTTGGCGAAAAAATATTTCAGACCACATTTGGTGTTAATTATATTGGAAATCGTTTAAACA